GGAGGAGCGAAGACGACGACGACGACGACGACGACGACGACGGCGACGAAATAGGAGGGACGACGACGAGACGCCGACGACGGACGACGACGACGACGACGAGGGAAGAGGAGGAAGGACGACCACGGCGACGACGACGACGGAAACGACCACGACGCCAAAGAGGACGACGACGACGAACACGAGGAAAGACAGAGGACGACGTAGGCGACGACGACGACGACGCGGGAGGAGGGAGGACGGCGACGACGACGACGACGACGACACACGAGCGCGCACGCACGCTTTTGTTGAAAATCCGTGTTGCGAAACCTTGTGTTTTCGTAGTTTTTTTGAACACACGATTTTGAAATCCTTCCGGAACCAATGGATTTTGAAGGATTTCGGCATACGCGCGCGACGACGCTCGCGTTTGCACTTCGTCTCATTTTTTGCAGGACGATTCTCGCGACGGCACACGCGCAAGGGCGTTCGACAGATTTCGACATGCGTGCGCGAAGCCCGTTAGTAGCATTTTGTGAAAATCTTGAAAAACCGATGGTTTTCTTAAGATTTCGCAATAGCTCGCGCGTGAGCTTTTATAGCAAACCAGTGTTGCGAAACCCTGTGTTTTTGTATGCTTTTGGGGAACTCGATTGCGACATCCTTCCGGCACCGAAGGTTGTTGAAGGATTTCGGCATGCGCGCGCGACGACGCGCGCGTGCGCACTTCGTCCTACTGTTTGCTTGGGACTCGTGACAAAGTGCTATGCTAAAACAAAAGATGTCCCCGCGTATCGTTTTTTTCCAAGGGGAACCTCAGGGGGACCGATCCCGGCTCCTCTGGGATAGTGTAAATTCATATTTAGGATGGGCATGTGCTCAGAATCATACATGATTTATATGCCCGAAAGGGGGGAATAACGCCAGGGGGGGTAGAGTCTATTCTGTTTTCAGAAAGGAGAATAAACGCGGCCTCGGAGATCTAGGCCTGCCTCCCCTTCCCCCCCCCCGCTCCCCCGCCCAGCCCCCCTCCCTCCACGGGATGTTTTTTTAACCCCCTCCAAAAACCCATCTTTGGGGGTTCTGGGGCAACAAACCAGCCGAACCACTCCAAAACCTTCCCAAACCCTGGTGAAGGGTGAGTAGGTGGGGGAAAACAGTTAACCCTTTCGACAAAACCGTCCTCCTCCCGCCCCTGTTGCCCCCCCCTTCGCATAGGGGCTCGGGGCCGGGAGCCCTGTGCTGCCTACACAACCACTCCCGAAGAATGGGGGGGCCGAAGGGGGACAGAGGGGGGGAAGAGGGAGCGAGAGGGATTCGAGGAACAATTATCGCAAGAGTCCCGTATCCCCAAGCAGCGTCTCTTGAGCCAGAGTGATCACTAAAAACGTTCGCGCGTCCTCCTGCTTCTGATCCGCTTGCGCCTTCGGCGCCGCCGTCCGGCTATTCGTGTCGAGGTCGTCCTCTTCCCCCGCATCCACGTAAGTCTTCTTTACCGCCCTAGCCCTCCTGTTTCCACTGAACCTTTTCCTCCTCATCCCCCTTCTCTCTTCCACCCGCTCCTCCCCCTCCTCCTCCGCCTCCTCCCACTTCTCCTCCTCCTCCTCCTCCTCCTCCTCCTCCTCCTCCTCCTCCTCGTTATCCCTCGTCCTCCTCCTGATCCCCTTTGTCCTCCTCCCCGTCCTCCTCTTCTTCCTCCTGTTCCTTGTCCTCCTCCCCATCTCCCTCCTCCTCCTCGCCATCCTGCTCCTCCTCCTCCTCCTCCTCCTTTTCCTCCTTTTCCTCCTCCTCCTGCTTTTCCTCCTCGTCCTCCTCCTCCTCCTGCTTTTCCTCCTCCTCCTCCTCCTCCTTTTCCTTCTGCTCCCCCTCCTCCTCCTCCTCCTTCTCCTCCTCCTCCTGTTCCTCCTCTTCCTCCTCCTCCTCCTCCTTCTCCTCCCTCCTCCTCTTGTACCTTCTCACATCGTTCCTCCCATTGCTCCTCCTCCTCCTGATACGAAATCCGCATCATGCTCGTGGTGCTGTTCCTCCTCGTCGTTTTCTTCCTCTTCCTCCTCCTTGTATGTAGTTAACGCCGTGCTCCTTCTCATGCACGCCGCACTCCTCCCTGTAGTCTTCGTTATCGTCCTTGCGCTCCTTGTCATCGTCCGTGAATCCTCCTCGTCCTTTTCCTCCTGCCCCTCCTCCTCCTCCTCCTCTTCCTCCTCCTCCTCCTCCCTCCTCCTCCTCCTCCTCCTCCTCTCCTCCTCCTCCTCCTCTTTCTCCTCCTGCGCCTCCTCTTCTTCCACGCGGTTCTCTCCCTCCTCCGCTTCCTCCTCGGAATGCTCTGCCTCCTTCTCCAACACATCGTCCTCCTCCTGCTCCCCCTCCTGCTCCCCCTCCTTTTCCTCCTCCTCCTCCTCCTCCTCCTCCTCTCCTGTCCTCCTCCTCGTCGTCCTCCTCCTCCTCTTGTTCCTCCTCCTCCTCCTCCCTCCTCCTCCTCCTCCTCCTCTCCTCCTCCTCCTCCTCCCCCTCCCAATCCTTTTCCGAAATGATCCTCCTCCTCCTCCTCCTCCTCCTCCTCCTCCTCCTCCTGCTCCTCCTCCTCCTTCTCTTTCTCCTGCGCTTCCTGCTAGTCTTGCTGCTGCGGCTGCTGCTGCTCCTCCTCCTCCTCCTCTTTCCTCCTCTTCCTTGGACCTTCCCCCATGCCAGGGATGCCGTCGCAGTCTCGCTGCCGCTCCCAGGAGGCACCCTCGCCAAGGATGACCTCAAACAATTTGCGTTTGAGCCGGATCCCGTCCAACTCCTCCATTATTCCTCCCGCGCAGCATCTCGGAGCTCTCTGCTCCTCCATGTCTCCTCCATATATTTCCCCCCGTCCTGGATCCGAAATGGCTCCCCCCCGATCAGCCCTTGCACTTTCTCAAGGGATCGTGCTCGTGCCTCGGCGCCAGCTACCTCCTCCGTCGGGCCAGGGGCGCCCAGCCCTCTCCCAGAGCACAAGTCGACAACTGAAGTGGAACCAAATGGTGCGCTTGGGTCTCACCCCTCCTCGCTCCTCTTCTCCTCCCTCTCGGAGCTCAGAGTCTCGAAGAGGTCTCGAGCGAAACGGGCCAGACCACCTCTGTCGCGCGCGGCATCTCGGAGCCCAATTGCGAGGATGTCTCAAGCGAAACGTGCCAGACCACCTCGCGCACATGTCCTGAGAGCCCAGAGCTGCGAGGACGCCTCCGGCGAAACGAGCTGGACCACCCCGCGGAGTTTCGAGGATGTCTCAGGCGAGACGCGTCAGACAACCCTGCGCGCAGCATCTCTGAGCCCCGAATTGCGACCATGTCTCAGGCGACATGGGCTGGACCACCTCGCGTGCGACATCTGGGAGCTCAGAATTTCGAGGATGTCTCGGGCAGCGCCCGGACCCCTCCCAAAGCACTCTTGGACAACACATGTGTATTCACATGATTCGTTTGGGTCTTGCTCCTCCTCCGTCTCGGAGGCCACAATTTCGAGGATGGGAGCCCCGAGTTGCGGGGATGTCTCAAGCAAAACGGGCTGGACCACCTCGCGTGCGACATCTTCTGGGAGCTCAGAGTTCCGAGCATGTCTCAGGCGGCGCCCAGACGCCTCCCAGAGCAAAACTCAACAACAGCGATGGAATCAATTGGTTCGTTTTGGTCTGACCCCCTCTCTCCTGTCGCCTCCGTCTCGGAGCCCTGAGTTTCCAGGATGCCTCAGGCGAAACGGGCCAGACCACCTTGCCCGCAGCATCTCGGAGCCCCAAGTTGCAATACTGTCTCAAGCGCAACGGGCCACACAACCTTGAGCACACTTTCTCATAGCTCAGAGTTGCAAGCATGTCTCAGGCGAACGAGCTGGTCCACCTCTCGCGCAGCATCTCGGAGCCAAGAGGCGCGAGGATGTCTCAAGTGAAAGGCGCCAGACCACCTCTCGGGCGGCAGCTCGGACGGAACCCCGAGTTGCGAGGATGTCTCAGGCGAAAGGGGCTGGACCACCTCGCCCGCGGCAGCTCGGAGCTCAGAGTTCCGAGAATGTTTCAGGCGAGACAAGCCAGACCATCTCGCGTGCGGCATCTCGGAGCCCCGAGTTGCGAGGATGTCTCAGGCGCAACGAGCTAGGCCACCTCGCGCGCGGCATCTCGGAGCTCTCAGGCGAAACGAGCTAGACCACCTCGCGCGCGGCATCTCGGAGCCTCAAGTTGCCAGGATGTCTCAGGCGAAACGAGCCGGACCACCTCGCGCGCGGCATCTAGGGGCTTCAAGTTCGGAGGATGTCTCAAGCGAAACGGCCTGGGCCACAAATGTCTCACCGGATCTTTGCGGATGTATCTGGTCCCCTTCCTCCGGCTGGAGTTAGCTTCTACCACAACAGCACTCCGTTCAGATGTTTGGGGAAACAACGACAGAAACATTAATTTTTGACGGTCCGTGCAGGTTGCTTGGATCTGAGCTGGACCCCCCTCCCTGGCGCGCAGGGCGCGCCAGAGGCGGCGCCAGAGGCGGCGCCAGAGGCGCCGCCAGGCGGTGCCCAGCGCAGACCCAAGTTTATGTTTGTGTCGTTTTTTCTTCTTGGAGGGGTGCGGGGGGGAGGTCCAGGGGAAAGGACGCGACCGGGCTTGTGGTAATGGGGGGTGACCTGGCATGGGGGTAAAGAAGACGGCCCGAAATGAGCCCTTCAGCGCCCCTTTTCAGCCCTTTGGGGCCGCTTCCTTCCTTTCCCCCCCTTCAGGTCACCCCCCCTTGCCACCCGCCCGAGGCGAGAGAGAGGAGGCCACCTCCGGAACCCCAGCCCTCCGTCGCCGCGGAGGTCTCACGGCGTGGGCCCCCAGAGGCCTACTTTAGACCCCTCCGCCTGGGACGGGCCTTGCACCTCGAGCCGCTTCCGACAGGCCCTGGCGCCCGGCGATGCAAGAACAGAACCAAGCAGAGATCGCCCGCCGAGTACTCTCACAGCGCGAGGGGTCGGGGAGGAGAGGCGCTCGGCGCCGATCGGGGCAGGCCCACCCCCCGCCCCCCGCGGCGCACAGGGTGAAGGCGGGGAACAGCGACTGGGTGAGCAAGCGGATGGCCCGCGCGATGTCGGCCACCCACCGGGCGCGCTCCTCGTCCGCTGCCGGGCCCTGCGTGGCGAACGCGTGCGTGACCTGCAGTCGCCGTCGTCGTCGTCGTCGTCGTCGTCGTCGGCGTCGTCGGCGTCGTCCTCGTCGTCGTCCTCGTCCTCGTCCTCGTCCTCGTCCTCGTCCTCGGCCTCGGCGTCGTCGTCGTCGTCCTCGTCGTCGTCGTCTGGTTACTTCTCCAGGCTGCGCACGCTCCGAGGTAATGCCTGCTGGCCTCAACCAGGGGCGGTCAGGAGGGGGGCGTCCAAGAGGGGGGGCGCAAATCATGGCCGCTGGCGCGTGCGCGGCCCAGGGAGGGGGGCAGAGACGCAATGAAGTAAGAAGAGGCGCCCTGAAATCTGGGGAGATATCATTGCCCCCGCCATGACATCCCCCCCTAGCTTCTACGACGACATACCCTCAATGAATCAAAAACAGACACGATGCATGAATTCCCTCGGCGGCGTCAGCCAGGGCGGAAAAATCGAAACCACTCATGGCTGCCAGACACAGCAACGTCCTTGGCAAGACGTTGCAGCGAACGTTGGAAGGCTTCTACAGACCTGGCACGCACTGCGAAAAATCACCCCCCTCTTATCCACCCCCGACTCCACAAGCTCCCCGTGTAGTCCTGGGCAGTCTCAACACCCTGGCGCCGCCTCCGGCGGCGCCCTGGGGCCGCCCCAGGCCTGAGATGCTGAGACCGCCCTGGACCTCCCAGGGGCCTGTTGAAGCCAGCTTACACTGCCTGGTGGGGCTGTCCGTGCGCAACCTGAAGCCTCACCGCCGTCGCCGTCGTCTCCGCCGCCCTGCCGCCGCCGCCGTGGACGCCGCCGCCGTGCCGTCGCCGTCGAGGTCGCGTCGCCGCCGTCGCACGTCGGTTGCCGGCGTCGGCGACCCCGTGGTGGAACACGGAGATCTTGAAGAGCCGCACGCCGCCGCCCAGCGCCCGGTCCGCCTCCACCGTGTGCAGCCGGCACGCCTGCACGAGGGCAAAGGGCGACCAGCAGACGCTGAGGCGCGCAACGGCGGCGGCGCCCGGGTGGGCCGGCGCGCCCTCGAGGGGGCCCAGCGGCTCCGAGGCGAAGCCGTTCCTGTCGGGCACGGGGTGGCGTCCGAGGCGGAGATTCGCCCATAACCACCGCTTCGGGGGTCGATCTTCGAGGACCTCGGCAGGCGGTGGAGGTGGACAGATCCGGGCCCCCTGGGGCCAAAACAGCTCCATAGTCACCGCCCGCTGGGGTCCCAGGGCGTCAGTTCCCCAGGCGGTGCACGTGGATGTATGCCCGCGTCGCAGAAAGGCTGGGTCGCTCAACTTTCCAGGCTGCTCCGACGATCTCTCTATTTGCCACTCTGGGCGTTGCTTCTCGAGATCGACCCCCATGATGGGGCGCGTCATTTGGCCCCCTGGGCCCTCATCCATGGATCTGGGACCAAACACTGTCCCCGGGGAAAGGGTCACGCCCCTGCAGATGCGCGATGCGCTATCCGCGGGGAACCTCAAACCGGCGACAACCTTTCAGTGCCCCTCCTTTTCGTGCTGGCCATGAAGACATCCCTCCCCAGGCCCTTTCCTGGGGTGCGCTCTCGCTCTGGCCAGAAGTGTGAAACGAATCCAGTCGTGGCAATGAGAAGTCTCCAGGGGACCTCAGAGAGGCCCCTCCTGAGATCCGGCGCTGCGAAAACTCGTAACATCGCGAAACAAAAAACTGGCTTGAGCTCCAAACCTAACCTTTCCCCTCCATTTCTCGACCCGCCCCGACCTTGGATGGGCCCCAGAACTCGAAACCTGGCGAAATTGCAGGTTGTGGAACATGAGCCCAGCAAAGCACCCTGATGACAGCAGGGGTTAGGTCGGGCATGTCCCCCTAAAGGCGGATTGTGGGCGAACAAAAAAATCAACCACTAAGAAGTGACCAAACATAGTAAGACATAGTCCCCAGACTACGTTTGAGTATGTTTGAGCATTCCTCCTGTAGAGGGACAGGCCCGACTCTAGAGCAAGGGTGACGAAGCGGGTCGAGGAGCGGGGGCCGAAGCACGGCCGCGGAGCCCCGAGGACGAAAGAGGAGGTGCAGCCCGGACGAGGGGGCGAGAGCACGGCCCGTGCGCACGGCCAGAGGCCTGGCGAACACGCCCGCCGTGCAAGAAACTGCAGCGTGCGGATCTCGGGAGCTCGGCTTGCACGATTCGCGGTGACGTCCCTCTGCAGGAGGAATGTTTAAACACAGTCAACAACAATATGGTGACGATGTTTTACACCTTTTTAAGATAGCAAGCACGTGTTAAACACATGTGGAGACAAATGTTGCAGTTCCCTCCAACATTCGCCTGTAGGATAACATGCCCGACCTGACGAGAACGCCCGCGTGACAGGCACCACCACCCCTCCCCCTGGTCGCTTTGCGATTCGCGCCCGTGCGCCGTCTGGCCAGCCATCCCTAGGCGTTCCCTCGACGGCGCTCGAATCGTGGCGTAACCAGCCCCCTCACCACCCGCCCCTCCCCCCCTTGCTTACGCCTGTTACCGCCAGGGGATGGAAAAACAACTTTTGTAAAGGCCTCGGGCCGGCGCCGCCGATCTGGGACGATCCCGCTGTCAGAAGGACGCTTTCGCCCCAGCGCGCTTGTTCAAACCTGAGTGGTTTGTAAATAGCTTGGAGTCATTGAGTCGGCTTCTTGAGGGGCCTCTACGACGCATCTTCGAGGCCTCCTGGGGGGGCGTCTTGGAGGATGTGTAGAAACTAATTTCTAAGCCTTCGGGAGCGCTTTTGGGCGCCTTTTGGGGGCCTCTTAAGAGCCACTTGGAGCCTCTCGGGGTTTCTTGGGGACTCCTAGGGCAATTTTGGTGCCTCCTTGGCGCCTCTTGGGCCGTCTCGGGCCCTTCTGGGGCCGTCATGGAGCCCTCTTGGGCGCTTCTTGGGCCCGTCCTGGGGCCTGCTTGGGCTGTCTTGGGGGTCTCCTGGGCCGTCTTGGGCCCTTCTTGGGCCGACTTGGGGCTCGCTCGACAGCCTCTGGGCCTGTTTTGGGGGTCTCTTGGGCCGTGTTGGACACTGCGAAGGCCGAGGAAGCGACAAAAACAAAAAAACAAATAACAAAAAAAAAAACGTTGTCCTTAGGGAATGGGGCAGATTTTACGTCTTTGGGCACTCTTAGGAGGTGTCGGGAGGGTAAGTTGAAGCGAGCGATGTTTCGGCCACTCCGGGGCCCGATTTTGCCATCGAAACTGACTCGACCCCCCACCCCCCCTTATCCCGGCAGAGCCATCCCGGCACCCACCCCAAGCAGAGCTGAAGCTCAAGAACTGAGGATCAGGCTATATATGTATGTATGTATGTATGTATATATATACACACATACATACACATATATATATATATATATATATATACATATGAAGGTCTTTGAAACTCACACGCCGGATCGGCGCCTGCTTTCGCCGGGGGATGGAAAAACAACTATTTCCAGGACGACTTGGAGGAAGGCAGCGCTCCCAGCTCCCAGACGCTGGACAATCGTTCCCCAAACAGCTTGCTGAACGGGGTACTGTTGTGATAGAAGCTAACTCTGGCCGAGGGAAGTCGGAGCAGAGACATCCTCAGAAAAATTTGCTGGTCCGGGCCGTTTCGCTTCAGACATCCTCACAACTCTCGTTTCTGAGTTGGCCGGGATTGGCCGTTTCGCCTGAGACATCCTCGAAAAATTGCGCTCCAGGATGCCGCGCGAGAGGTGGTCCGGGCCGTTTCGCTTGAGACCTCCTCGAAACTCTGAGCCCCGAGGTTCCGTGCGAGAGGTGGTCTGGGCCGTTTCGCCTGAGACATCCTCGAAACTCTGAGCTCTGAGATGCCCTACGCGAGGTGGTCCGGCCCGTTTCGCCTGAGACATCCTCGAAACCTTGACCTCGGAGATGCCGCGCGAGAGATGGTCCGGCCCGTTTCGCCTGAGACATCCTCGGTTTTCTGAGCTCTGAGATGCACTGCGCGAGGTGGTCTGGCCCGTCTCGCCTGAGACATCCTCGCAACTCTTAGCTCTGAGATGCCGTGCGCAAGGTGGTCTGGACTGTTTCGCACAAGACATCCTCGCAGCTCTGAGCTCCCAGATGCCGCGCAAGAGGTGGTCCAGCCTGGGGACCCAGAAAACCACATGTTACATATCCTCCCTGGGACCCTGGGAGCCCGCCTGAGATATCCTCGAACTTCTGAGCTCTGAGATGCCCTGCGCGAGGTGGTCCGGCCCGTCTCGCTTGAGACATCCTTGCAACTCTTAGCTCTGAGATGCCGTGCGCAAGGTGGTCCGGCATGTTTTGCACAAGACATCCTCGCAACTCTGAGCTCCCAGATGCCGCGCAAGAGGTGGTCCAGCCTGGGGACCCAGAAAACCACATGTTACATATCCTCCCTGGGACCCTGGGAGCCCCAGGAGGCCCCAGAAAGTTGCAGGAAGCCGCAGGACGCCCAGGACAGGCCCCAGGGGTCCGCAGGAGATTCCCAGGAGGCTCCCAGGAGGACCCAGGAGGCCCCCTATCAGAACGTGTCCAGTCAATACACATCCGGTGTCGATTCGTTAATTTTTCCTGCTCTTGTGCCCCCCCCTCCATTTTGAGAGGCCCAAGCGGCCACAGGTTAGATATCACCCCTGGGAGCCCCAAGAGGCTTCAGGAAACCCCAGGTGGGGTCCAGGAGGCCACAGGAGGCCCAGGAGGAAGCCCCAGGAGGTCACCAGGAGGCCCCAGGAGGGCCCAGGAGGCCCCCCCAACTCGGAGCTCTGAGACGCCGCGCTCGAGGTAGTATGGCCCGTTTCGCCTGAGACTTCCTCGCAGCGCGTTTCGCGCGAGACACCAGCCCGTCTCGCCTGAGACATCCTTGCAACTCTGAGCTCTGAGATGCCGTGCGCAAGTTGGTCCGGCTCGTTTCGCACAAGACATCCTCGCAACTCTGAGCTCCCAAATGCCGCGCAAGAGGTGGTCCAGCCTGGGGGCCCAGAAGACCACATGTTACATATCCCCCCTGGGATCCTGGGAGCCCCAGGAGGCCCCAGAGAGCTTCAGGAAGCCGCAGGACGCCCAGGACAGGCCCCAGGGGTCCGCAGGAGATTCCCAGGAGGCTCCCAGGAGGCCCCAGGAGACCCCCTATCAGAACGTGTCCAGTCAATACACATCCGGGGTGTCGATTCGTTGATTTTTCCTGCTTTTGTGGCCCCACCCATTTTGGGGGGCCCGACGGCCACATGTTAGATATCCCCCCCTGGGAGCCCAAAGAGGCTTCAGGAAGCCCCAGGTGGGGTCCAGGAGGCCACAGGAGGCCCAGGAGGAAGCCCCAGGAGGTCACCAGGAGGCCCCAGGAGGCCCCAGGAGGCCCCCGCAACTCGGAGCTCTGAGACGCCGCGCTCGAGGTGGTCCGGCCCGTTTCGCCTGAGACTTCCTCGCAGCACGTTTCGCCCGAGACATCGTCGCAACTCTGGGGTCCGAAATGCCGCGCGCGAGGTGGTCCAGCCCGTCACGCTGGAGACGTCCTCGCAACTCTGGGCTCCGAGATGCCCTGCGCGAGGTGGTCCGGCCCATCTCGCCTGAGACATCCTCGCAACTCTGAGCTCTGAGGTGCCGTACGCAAGGTGGTCTGGCCCGTTTCGCACAACTGGACAAGACATTCTCGCAACTCTGAGCTCTCAGATGTTGCGCAAGAGGTGGTCCAGCCTGGGGCCCAGAAGACCACATGTTACATATCCCCCCTGGGACCCTGGGAGCCCCAGGAGGCCCCAGAGAGCTTCAGGAAGCCGCAGGACGCCCAGGACAGGCCCCAGGGGTCCGCAGGAGATTCCCAGGAGGCTCACAGGAGGCCCCAGGAGGCCCCCTCATAAGAACGTGTCCAGTTAATACACATCCGGTGTCGATTCGTTGATTTTTCCTGCTCTTGTGGCCCCCCTCCCCCAATTTGGGGGGCCCCGACGGCCACATGTTGGATATCCCCGTCTGGGAGCCCCAAGAGGCTTCAGGAAGCCCCAGGTGGGGTCCAGGAGGCCACAGGAGGCCCAGGAGGAAGCCCCAGGAGGTCACCAGGAGGTCCCAGGAGGCCCCAGGAGGTGACCGCAACTCGGAGCTCTGAGATGCCGCGCTCGAGGTGGTCCGGCCCGTTCGCCTGAGACTTCCTCGCAGCACGTTTCGCCCGAGACATCGTCGCAACTCTGGGGTCCGAAATGCAGCGCGCGAGGTGGTCCAGCCCGTCACGCTGGAGACATCCTCGCAACTCTGGGCTCCGAGATGCCCTGCGCGAGGTGGTCCGACCCATCTCGCCTGAGACATCCTCGCAACTCTGAGCTCTGAGATGCCGTGCGCAAGGTGGTCCGGCCCGTTTCGCACAAGACATTCTCGCAACTCTGAGCTCTCAGATGCTGCGCAAGAGGTGGTCCAGCCTGGGGACCCAGAAGACCACATCTGGCTCCCAGGAGGCCCCAGAGAGCTTCAGGAGGCCGCAGGACGCCCAGGACAGGCCCCAGGGGCCCCCAGGAGATTCCCAGGAGGCTCCCAGGAGGCCCCAGGAGACCCCCTATCAGAACGTGTCCAGTTAATACACATCCGGTGTCGATTCGTTGATTTGTCCTGCTTTCCCCCCCATTTTGGGGGGCCCTGACGGCCACATGTTAGATATCCCCCTCTGGGAGCCCCAAGAGGCTTCAGGAAGCCCCAAGTGGGGTCCAGGCCACAAGAGGCCCAGGAGGAAGCCCCAGGAGGTCACCAGGAGGTCCCAGGAGGCCCCAGGAGGCCCCCGCAACTCGGAGCTCTGAGATGCCGCGCTCGAGGTGGTCCGGCCCGTTCGCCTGAGACTTCCTCGCAGCACGTTTCGCCCGAGACATCGTCGCAACTCTGGGGTCCGAAATGCCGCGCGCGAGGTGGTCCAGCCCGTTACGCTGGAGACATCCTCGCAACTCTGGGCTCCGAGATGCCGTTCGGGATGAAGAGGAGGTGGAGGAGGAGGAGGAGGAGGAGGAGGAGGAGCAGGATCAGGAGGAGGAGGAGGAGGAGGAGGAGGAGTTAACATGCCATGCCAGCCCGCACTGGACGGGCATGCAATCGACCTTGGAAACCGCAGTGGGTCTAAAAACCCTGTTTGGGGATACTGCACTCCGGCTATAATTTGTTGTTTTCCAAAACGTCGACCCCCAGAGGTCTCGACCCTCTCCCTGGGACCAGGTCTTAATCCCGAGCCGTTTTTTGACGTTCACGGGGCCTGCTGGGATGGGCCCCGAGAGGCCGAAAATTATAGAAAACCTACGTCCCAAATTTTTCGACACGCCAGTATGTCTAAGTCGACCCCCGAAACTCATCCATGATCCCCTTCCTTCTTCAATCGGCGGCGAGCGAGGGGGGAACGTGAAAAGGTGCGGGCCTTCTCAGAAGGCTCGGAAGCCCCCCGGCCTTTTGAGAAGTTTCCTAAGCCTTCCCCGAAGACGCATACGCCGTCTCAGAAGAGAAGGCGCGAGGGTCCCTGAGACGTCCCACAGCCTTCTGAGAAGGCCTTCTCCTTCTCGCTTCCCCCCCGTCGGACGCCGCCGATCCACGGCGGCCTGTGCAGCGCCAGGCGCACCACGACCGGGTGCTCTGGGAACTCGCCGCTGAGGTACAGCACGCGGCCCTCCCGCACTGGCGGGTGCAGCAGTGGGAGCCCGGCATCCGCGACGTAGGTGCGAAGGCCTCTTGCGGCGCCGACGACGACGACGGCGACGGCGGCGGCGCCCCCTAGGCTGGGCGTCGCTTACTTGGGGGGGATCGTCGGTGGCGAGCGCCGGGGGGGGATGAGACGGACAAGGCCTGTTCACAAGCACTCGCGAATTCTGAGAAGTCATATGCGTCCTGGGGAAGGATCAGGAAACAGAAGGCCGGGGGACTTCCGAGCCATCTGAGAAGGCCGTCTCCTTCTCCCTTCCTTCCCCCCCCCTCGCTCGCCGCCGAGGGAAAGGGGGAGAAGAAAGGTGCACTATTCAGAACCTTAAGGGTCCCCTTTCGGGCCCTGAGGGCTCCTGTTATGCAGCCCTCGCTGCCCCTGCATTAGTCGCCCCCCCACTACGCGACGCCCAACCAGCCGTTTCGGTACTGGCGCCAGGCCCACCTGGACCGCCCGCCGCCGCGCTAGCGGGCGGCGGCGGCGGGCGGTGCCCCCGCGCCCGCGCGCGGTCCACTGCGTGGCTCGGATCTTAACCCATCCGCCCATCCGCCTCCCGACCGACCGACCGACCGAGGCGAAGGAGGAGGAGGAGGAGGAGAAGGAGGAGGAAGAGACGAGCGCGCAGCGGGAGACTTCTCCCATTTCCCAGATCCCTCGGGCAGGATGAACCCTCAATGCCGACTGTCACGACGTGGGGACAAATACCAGGCGGCGGCCAAGCAGGAGAAGGACTTGAGACCATATGGCTTTGGAGCGCCTTGACCGTGCGCGGGCCCAGTTGCCTGGAGCCACCATCCCGAAGGGCACGGTGGCCAGACGGCGCGACAGTCCTGGGGCCGTGGCCCAGGCCGCGCGGAGCGAGGTCGTGCTGGGCGGGCAACCTGCTGCAGCCGCAGGAAGGCCCAAGCAGAGGAGGGAGAGGATGAGGACGAGCGCAGCACGGAGCCACGCTCGGATCTCCTCCCGACGGAAACCCGCGCGCGGCGCGACCCAGCACAGTGGGAGGAGGAGGAGGAGAAGGAAGAGGAGGAGGCGGAGGAGGAGGATGAGGGGAAAGGGGAGCGAGCGAGCCAGCAGACGTCCAGGTGAATCACAAAGACGCCGCCGAAGAGGGAGGGTGGCCGCAGCGGCGGCCTTGGGGCCCGATCAACCACCGAGCCCGAGCAAGGGAATATGAAAGTACCGCCAAGGGCGCTTGTGAGGTTGCAAGGCCAGGGCGGTGGAAAGCTAGGCTGACTCCCCTCCCGACCCGGCTCCCGCCCCCCCCTCGTCGTCGCGGGCAGCCTTCGCCCGCGAGATGGCACGAAACACTTCCTTGAGGCGGCAGTGGCCAGCAGGGAGAACAGGGGAACACGCGCATGCTTGACGGATGATGGCCCGCCCACGTCCTGCGGGGCGGTGCTGCAGGCCTCTCAAAGCGTCGAGGCCATCACCACAGGCCGATCCCGAGATGGGCTCGGGAGGGAGGCAGAGGTGGCCACGGGAGCCCGCCCGAGGAGGAGGCAGGGCTGGCTCCGGGATCGGCACTGCGGGGCAGCATCGAGGCATGCTCCCCTCGTGGCAACGGCATGGCCTCCGAATTCCCAGCAGTGCCCAGATGCTTGGCTTCCTGCTGCTGATGCTGCTGCTGCTGCCAGACGCAGCAATCTGCTCTCACAGGGTTCCCGTGGCCCCGCAGAGGAAGTGGAGGCGGCGGGAGACGGTCCCATGGCCTCGGAGGCAGCAGCAAGGGCAACCGGCTAGCACTGGATCGCAAACTTTTGAGGGTAGACTCGGTGGAGGCTGACATGTTGCAGCTTCGGCAACGCCACTCATTCCTGCCCGGGATGAAAGCCAAATCATACCCTACAAGCGAAACAGCCGACTTCGCTTCCACAGATCGGGGTGGGGGGCGGCTTTGGCTCAAAGGCCTGGGCGGCAATCCCGAAGACCTGGACAGCCCTAGACAAAACATCAAAAGTTTTTGTTATGCGTGGATGTGCGCGCACGCTCCACCTGCACGGCTTGGGGGGCCAATCTTCGCAACGAAATCAGCCGAAAGGTTTCCACAATAGTCCTCAATGTCTCTCTGGGACAGGTGGAGCACATCTTCGAGCTCGCAGTGGGCAGGGACCCACGGCAGCTTGGGCCTGGGGCGGCCTTTGGTACACGAAATTGTCTCACACCAGATTTCTGCATGAAGGGAGCGCCCCCCCCCCCCAAAGACGAATCCCAAAAGGCTCCCTCATTGACGAACGAACGGTGGTCACGGCACACCTCCACGCCTGGGGGTGCAAACTTCATCGCCCACATAGTTGCGAAGCGCTCGGCGCGAGGCACCGTCTGGCGCCCAGGCAGAGGCCTTTAGAGGGCCCCCACGGGGACCTCACAAGGGCCCATCTCGACGACAGACCATGCACACCGTCTAAGTTCGGGACTGGTACTAGCCAGTCCCGAACCGTCGGTATAGACGCGCTGCCTGCGTCCTTCCGAAGTTGCACCGCGCTGGAGCACAAGGCATTCTGGCGCTGGGGTGAAGCTGGGAGGATAAAAGAGGAATCCATGAGCAAGCTCGAGAATGTCCCAGTCAGCCACGAGATTCTGATACCCCTCGTCCCTTCAAGCCGTCCTGTGCTCCAAGACATCATCTGGGAGGGCCTCTATATCGAGATCGACCAGGGGTTTAAGTAAGAGCGGACAATCATAAAGCTGGCGGCGCGCTCGCGCCATATCTGACGTCCCATCCCTCCTTTCCATCCCTTGCCATTACACTGACTTTCCTCTATCCGAGGACGCGTGCCGTAGCCACCCTGAAATCCCACAAAAGACTCCTTCGTTCTAGGCGCAGTCGAGAAAGAGAAACTTGTGGCACCTGTGCGGCCTGTGACCTGTGGGACTTGCGAGATCTGCGACACCTGTGGGACCTGCGGGACCCCGGGCTGGGACCTGTGGGACCTTTAGGAACTTGGGGACCTCTGTGGGACCTGTGAGACATGTGACACCTCTGGATCTGTGGGACCTGCGGGATCTATCGGACCTGGGGACCTGTGGGGCATGCGAGACCTGCGACATCTGTGGGACCTGTCAGGCCGGTGGTACCTGCGGGACCTGTGGGACGACCTGCGAGACTCGTGGGTCCTGTGGAACCTGTAGGGCCTGCCAGACCTGCGGGACCTTTGGAACCTGCGAGACCTGTGTGATCCAGAAAGGGGGCCCACGCTGGGGCGGGAGCAACACTCTGAGCGATGGAGGCACAGCACAGCGCCGATCCGAAAAAAAAGCCCACGCTGCAGCGAGAACGCACCGCTTTTGAAATTATTGAAAAATCTGGTTGCAACAACCACAAAGAAAAGCCAGCTCGCGCAACTCAAATGTAATAAAAAGGGCGCGGGGGGGGGGGGGCGAACAATGTCAGCACATGTTCGATGGAGAGAGGAGAATCGCTTTCATACTGCGTAATTGCCGAGGGGGAAAAGGAAGACGAGGACGAAGAGGAGGAGGAGGAGGAGGAGGAGGAGGAGGAGGGGATGGAGGGAGACAACACATTGGAGGAGGGAGGAGCGGAGGGGAGGAGGACGAGGAGAAGGAGAGGAGGAGGAAAAGGATGAGGAGAAAGAGGAGTGCTGCGGAGCCCGCTGCGCTCCACTGCCTGGCCTTCTCCTCAGCCTGGCTAAGGGCGTCCCAGAACGTCGACGCCGTGATTTCTTCACAACGCTGGCCCGCAGAGGTCTGGACCCCCTTCCCCGGGACGATATTTCGTCTCGAACCGTTGTCGGACGATCCAGGGGCCCGGCAAACACCCCCAGAAGCAGAACATGTTCTACAACGGACCGCCGTGATTTCTTCACAACGATCGGAGGTGGAGGTTTCTCCGGCTCGAGACCACTGCTGCAACCCTTGTCATCGCTCAGACGTCCATTCCCCGTGCTGCTTGGTTTCGTGCGCGCCCCTTCATCTCCACGTGATCCACGATGCTCCAAGATAGTTAAGACAAGCGCGTTCCACTACTCGAAATGGATACTACTCGCAAATGGCCTGGATCCGCCGCGACACAAACACGCACGCACGCACGCACGCAGACGCACACGCACGCAGACGCACACGCACGCACACACACACACACTCACACACACACACACACGCACACACACACGCACAAACACACACACACACGCACACACACCCACACACCCACACACACACACACGCACACGCACACGCACACGCACACGCACACGCACACGTACACGCACACCCCCACACACACACACACACACACACACACGCACACACACACACACCACGCACACACACGCACACACACACGCACACACATACACACACTCCATGGGCCTCGGAGGAACACAGGCCTGCAACAACACTGACACGCTTGGAGGTCCGCGCGGAGCGCCTGGATCGGTGCTGGACCCCCCTCCCTGGCGCCGGGAGCGCGCAAGAGGCGGGCGTCCGCCGCAGATCCCAGAAGAATCAGCGCGAAGCGCCACGAGTCTATGCTCGTGCCGTGCCATGCCCTTCTTGGGGAGACGTGAGACTCGGGTACTGGGGGCCATCGGTAATGAAGCTGGGACGAAGAGCTGCCCATGGGGATGCGGTCCGGGGCCCTTGGGGACTCGGATTGGACACGTCAGATCGGCGGAGGTCTGGGGCTGGCGGCGCGCACGAGGGGCGGCGCAAGGGGGGAACCTTCTAAATTCGGGAAGACGTAAGACTCGTGTTCTGAGGACTCGGGTTGGCCTGACGGGGCCATCATGAAAACTACGAATTGCAATCTGAAACTTGGCGCGAACTCCCGCTGCAAACATCCCACAAAAACCGGACCGTCAAAATCCAGGACGCGCTCTTCCAAAAACGCAAACCAGAGTTCTGGCTTACCCCTCGGTCGGAAGAAGTAGGTAGAATTAGGTCGGGCATGTCCCCCTACAGGCGGGTTTTGGGCGAAAAATTAGAAATACTCGAACCATATTCAACAATAGACAGAACAACCTCCAAAAATCGTCCCCAGACTATTCTTGTTACTATTTTTGGCTATCCCTCCTGTAGAGGGACAGGCCCGACGTAAGAAGGTCGAAACATGAAGTAAGAGGGCGTTGGAAGCAGATCGGGTCTCCGCCCGCCCCAGAAGAGGAGGGAAGAGGAGAAGCCACTCGAGCACTGAAATGGGAAGGCGCCTGAAGCAGATCGGAATCCGTGAGTTCCAAAGATACCTACTTTCAACGACCGATGGGTACTCGAGTCTTGCGTTATGTTGCTCCCATTGTACTTAAGGACCACATCCCAGAAATAACTTCGAGCACCTAGAAAAGTGTCGAAAGAGTGTCGAAACAGTGTCGAAAGAGTGAAAACATTCAAGTTTAGGGGTGTTCTCTTGGTGCTCGGAATTCACTCTGGCGATCAAGGCTAAAAGTAGGTTGGGGCATCATAAGTCTTACGTTCCCTCGATGCTCTGCGGGTGGACGGGGCAGGGGCTCGGAGGGGCGTGGGCGGCGCCAGCGCGCGAGAGAGGCCCGCGGGGGGCAGGGGCGAAGCGCGCCTCCCCGCCGGAGGGCGCAGATCCCCAAAACATCCGCGCGGAGCGCCGGCAGTTTGGGCTCTTGCCGTCTTCTCCTTCGGGATCCTCGACGAAAGCCGCTGGTCTTCTTCTTCTTCTTCGAGATCTTCGAAGCAGGAAGAGCGACACCACCAAGGAGCCAGGGGCGGTCCCCCTCAGCGGTGTGACCCCCCCCCCCCCTCTTCTCTTCTCGCTCGAGACACACGCCCCAGCGCCAGCTCGAGGAGGCATCGTGGACCTCCTCGCAGGAGGCGACCCCCCTGGTGGTGGCGGCGTCGGCCCTCCTGTCAGACGAGGCCAGGACGAGGATCAATTCGGACGAGGATAGACCGAGCGCTCTGAGATCCAGCGGTTCTGGAGGATGTCTCGGGCGCCGCGGCCTTCTCAGAGCGCTCTTCGGAACGCTCTGAGAGCGTTTCGGAACGCCCTGGAATGGATGTATCCTCGTCCTCGCCCCGTCCGAATCCCAGATGGGGTTCAAAAGGATGGGGTCGGACGATCGCGCCGCAACGCCGGCGTGGAGAGGAGACCAGGCTCCACATCGAGCCGCATCGCCGATGCATCGGCGATGCGGAGCGCTGTGGACTGAATTTCTCTCCTTAGGTCGGGCATGTCCTCCTACATGCGAATTCTGAAGGGTCCTCCTGTAGAGAGATGTGCCCGACTTCGATTCATCCTCGTCCTGGCCGCGTCCGATCCCTTCCCCGACGCCGGAGCCCATCGCCAGCCGAAAACGCGGGCCGCACCCCCCCGTCGAGCAGGCCCGTGGGGCCTCGCTGCTCCGGGTCGCCCGCGACCTGCGGCTGCACGGCCTCGGGCACGACGAGCTCGGACGAGGGCTCCCTCAGGCCTTCGCCGAGGCGGCGGCGGCGGGCTCATCAGGAACACGAGTCAGCATGTGCCAGACTCGAGAAAAGTAAAAGCTTGCTCTGGTTCCTCGAGTGCGCCTTGAACGCAGCGCTGTCGCAGAAGGGGGGGGGCCCGCGCTCCTCTGGCACGCAGGGTGGAGGTATCCCTGCGGCCAGGAGCGGCCAGAGCGCGCCGAGGCGAGGCGAGAGCGAGGGGAGCACGCCCAAAGCTTCGACGATGTGCGTGTGTGTGTGTGTGTGTGTGTGTGTGTGTGTGTGTGTGTCTGTTTCTGCGCATGTGCTAATGCACGTCTATGCAGGGAGCTCCGGGTGTTCCTTCCTATATGTCGGCCTCTACAGGTGGATAATGGGATCACCAGTGGACGCCAAACGGGTTATACCTGGCCTGACCTTGCCTACCTGTGGGACACACATGTCCCCAGAGGGCTCAGGGGATTCGACCACTCCGCGAAGCGGGCGGAGCCCACCGAGCCTGGACCGCTGTCCCCCCCAAGCCACTCGGGGGCCGTGCTCTTCGAGCCCCTGGGCCATCAAAAACGGGTTCTGGGGCGGAGCGCTGGCCCCGGGCAGGGGGTCGGGACGTCTGGTGGGGGCCAGGTTGGTGTCTGGGTCCAGTGCGCCTTGGGCTTGCTTGGGAGGGACGCCACAAGGCCGAGACGCACTGGACATGCATAGACATGGAGTCTCTAGGAGTCAGACTTTCATCCATATCCAGTGCGCCGCGGGCCTCTGGGGAAAAGGGGCCCGAAACTCCAAGCTGCAGTGGATATTGACAAAAGTATTGCCCGTATCTGAGAACCGCGAATTGAACAACTCATGTCGTCGGATGCCTGGGCAATTGCGGAAGAGCAGCTCACCTTCCCACGAGGGGCCGCAAGGAAGAGATGGTCGCCAGGCCGCCTCCGCGAGAAGAGGGCTCCCTCAAGCCTTCTCGGAGAGGGGGGGACACATGGAAGAGAAGCAATGGAGTGGAGGAGACTGAAGAGGAGCGACACTCACCGAGAGGGGACAGGTTCGTCGACGTCGGCGTCGGAGACTGAAGAGGAGGAGGAGGAGGAAGAGCAAAAGGAGGAGGAGGAGGATGAAACGGAACGATGTTCTGAGGGGAGGGCTGGACAGGAAGAAACCTCAGGAGAGCGCAAGAGCAGCTGGGACCGAGCTGGGATCAGGAGATACAGAGGGAGAGCGAGCCTGACTCCAACCACTTCTGACTGTTGCGAAACTGACTTGCACCAGTTGCAACCAGCGGAGTGGGCCGAATTACGACTAAAGAATACCACCATAATGCCACTAACAATTTTTTGGGGGGGCCTTTGTTCATTCGGGGGCCAAGCACATAAGGGATGGGGATTGTCCTTCAGATGTATCGAACCAAATCGCCCAGATGTACCATCACCGATGCGAAAGCGGGGACCGCAGTGAGGCCACGCCTTCAGTGTGTTATCAAGGTTAGATGTTTTGTGCACGATAACCTTACCTTCGCGCCACGGAACAACAACGCTCTCTGTTCGACGTCGCCGCAGCCTCCGCGCGGTCTCCCGGGACCCTCTGCGCGGCCCGTGACCCGTCTTTGTCGCTGGAGAGCCCCTGCTGCGCAGCCTCTCCAACAACACATCCGAGACGTTTCTGCGAAGCTTCTTCGTGGCTTTACAAAGAAGTCCGTGAGACAACTGAATGGTTTTCGACGGGTTTCTGCGCGGCCGCCTGAGAGTTCCCGATCAAGCTTTTTTGGATATTGTGAAAGAGTCACTTGGGCAGCATCTGACAGGCTTCTGGTGGCCACGTCTGGTTTTTGAAACGTTTCTGAAAGGGTTCTGAACGTTTTCGTGAAGGGGGCCCGGATGGCTCGTGAAGGATTTCTCCAAAGTTTCTGAACAACGCGTGATCGATTCCGCATGAAGTTCAGTTCGGTCGGAAAGGGCACGCGAGGGACCCAAGACCCTTCCATGGGTCATGGGAGCGCCGAAGTGCCATGGGAATGTAGAAGGCACGGGTCGCTAAACACAGGGCGTGAGGGCACCCTTGATTTTGCAGGACCCGCCTGGCCTACTAACCTTCCCACTCTACTGGAGGTTCCCGTGGGATTTCCCAAGCATTTGCCACATACGTCCGAAAGACCACCTCGAAAATTCCCAGAGATGGTCCAAGGAGCCTCACAGAAAGGTCGACCGACAAATGTAACAGACTTTCCTAGAGGCTGCCGAAAGGCTTGTTTGAGGCTTCCAAGGGGCTTCCGCGGAGACAAACACGACGCTGATTTCAAAATAGCAGTTGCGCGTGTCATTCGCCGCAGCTCTCATCACTACATGGATTTCGCAAGCGCCCACGGCAACAATAACCAAACACTACATACAACCCCGCTGTGAAATCGCACGAGCCGGATTATCGTAATCACGCGCAACCCCACCACTTCGCATCAGCTCCGACGGGTCGGTGGGATTTTCTATAATCCAGGCAGATTGCTACAACACATTCCCAACACATGCACGTAGCAACGCGACACGCCGAATTACCAGGCAACGGCTAGACACATCAATCACCGAATCAACGAATTGCAATTCAACAAACGAGTTATATGCAGCGTCGATTCACATTAATAGCTGCGCTGTGTTCCAGGCACCTACTCATGCAGAGGCGCGCTTGAAATTAGCGGCTGTGCAGCAGTTGCCAGACATTGAAAAGAGTTACATGTTTAATTGCCAAGTCCAACGACGCATTTCATTTCGCAAGACCAACCGTACTGAACCACAAATCTAACCACGAGAAATTGTCAAGGACCCCCCCCCGGGGCTTATCCGTTGCACTGCACCGCTATTAATTAATTTCAGGGGGGGGCATTCTCGCCCGGAGTCGATAAAATAAGTGGACGTGAGCAAACTGATCAAGACTGGACGAAGAAGGTGAATGCTGATGAAAAGCTGAATTCTGACCAACCGGCCTCGCGAAGCGCGGGTTCCTAAAACTTGAGAGCTGAGTGCTCAGAAGACAACCTCGCGACGCGCGCGTCCTGGAAGCATGTGCGTGCTGCGTGCGGAGGAAATCCTCAGCATCAGACGTGCCAGGTCGCCTTGAACGGCGAGTGGACTGTGAGCAGCATCTTCCTCGTCCTCTGCCTGTGTAAATCCTATGACCATCCCCACTTGGCAATTGAATTTGGCCGGGCGTCCTAAGGGGGGGGCCAGGGCGAATCCCGAAATATTGCCCCCGCCCCACACGGAGCGTAATCTTAGCACTGAGGAACGCTGGGTACCATGATTCCCCGTCAGCGACTGTAATGGTAGTAGTAGTAGTAGTAGTAGTAGTAGTAGTAGTAGTAGTAGTCGTAGTAGTAGTAGTAGTAGTAGTAGTAGTAGTA